CCTTTGTTGTCACTTAGGTTGGGGAGTCACTACTCTATTTGGCATCTTACTAGTTGGTGGGACCTTTTCTTTGTACAGTGATGGGACTTTTGTGACCTTTTCTCTCACTATGCAATAGAGGGTTTCATGCAGATAATCATGTCAAAATTGGGAAGTCTGTAACCTGTTTTTTTAAAAAAACAATTTCTCTTTTTTGTGTCCCTCAATACTTAGCAGATTGTTCATTTGATGAAATTCTTATTACTTACATGAATGAGTTTCAATGTAGTGGCAAGGAAGAAAAAAAACAAAAATTATTGTTTTTAAAGAAAAAAACTTACAAGGTACCTAAGTATTTTTAAAAAATCAATTGACCAGGAAGGAATGCATGCAGTTTTTGAATGGTTAAGACATGCTTTTTATTCACAAACTAGTATTCACTTTTTTACAACTTGTATTGAAACAAATGATCTTTGTTTTTGTCACAGGCAAAAACAGGTTGACACTGGTGGGTTGGCTTTATTAATTAATTTTTTTTTTTTTGCTATTAGGTTTTCTTTAATATTACATTTCTTTATTACAGCATATGTTTTAGTTAATTCTGAAATCAGTTACTTCATGTGCTAACTTATCCCTCATATCATGAATATTGTTTTTTAAGTGTTCTACACAAATTTGTGTCACTTTTTTTCCTTACAGCTTTTGCAGTTAATATATTCTAAACTTGAAAATGTGGTATCAATCAATAATAGAGAAGTATCACTGGAGGACTTATTTAATTTTGTATTTCTTAATTTTAGTCCTAGCTACTAAAGTATATAAGCCTTAAAGTTTAAAATGTTTTTCTTAAATTAGCTGTATACACAAACATTTTCATTTACTTCATGAAATGGGAGGAGTTCGTTCATTGTGCTTGCTTTTTTCCCCCTTTAATTTCCATATTCTGAAGCAGTGCAGATAGAGGGTATGCTAATCAAGTGAGCAAGGTGGAATATGTACAATATAAGGAAAAGATGTATAATTGACAGTATAAAATTATGAAGTTTGGTACATAATTGTAAATGTACTGTATTTATATGTAACTCTCATTCTAAAAGTTGCCACAAAAGCTGAATTGGAAGCTTCATGTCTGCATGAAATTTCCTATATTTTTAATGTGTACGATGAAATTAATTTTTCTTGAATATTAAAGTCTGCCAATTGCTACAAAACAATAGTTGCTTTGTTGTTTTCGTCTAAGTTACTGTAACTGTAGATTACTACTAATTTTAATAAGTTGAGCAGATATACCTTTAAACTCTTGGATTAGTCTGTTTTTATATGCTTCTAGAAAGTCAGTAATGTGAGTACTTGGTCTTATGATATGCCAAGTCTCATACTAATTATTTTCACTTTGTTTCATTCAAGTTCACTGTATTAAAGCTAGAATCCACTGAGGAAAAAGAATAATCTTGTTTTTTAGTTTTGTTAAATAATAGAAACAGAACTATAAAAGGAACTAGTAGAAGACAGTTCTAGGACCAGCCATTAGTGGGATGAGCACTTATGATTGTTTTTGATCTCAGGCAAGCTACTCTTACCTTGTTTCCTCACCTGTAAGATAAGATTAATATCATCTATTTCAAATGGTTTTTTAAATTCGGTCATATGAGCTTATGTATGTATTTTTGTGTGTACGAAAGCACATGATAGACAATTACCGTAAATGTAATTTCTGTCTCTGTTGACTGCTATATAGTGAGAGAAAAAAGGAGGATTATTAACAGGACATTAGTTTTAATAATCTTATGGTGACGCTTTGAAAAAGTTTGGAATCCTGGGGAAAACAGTAACAAATGGTAGGTACAGATACAGATTCCGTAAGTTTGGTGAGAATTACAATGAAATATATTAGTAGGTAATGGGAGAGGGCATAAGTAAAATTTAATGGCATGTTACCTCCATTTTCATCAACCTGCTAACACATCCCTTTTATATATGCTTGATTCTTTCTCTATAGTATCTACTTAGATTTGGGATCCTTCAGTCAATGTGAATGTGCATTTTCAGTTAAGTTGCCTTTTAGAAGGATTGCACCAATTTACATGCCAAGAACAGTGTTTAAAAGTAACTTATATCCATTCCCTGGCCAATACTGGATATTGCTGAGCTTTTCATCTTTGTCACTGCAGGCATACCTCATTTTATTGTACTTTGCTTTATTTTGCAAATACTTTGCTTTATATTGCAAAATACTGTTTTTTGGTTTTTGGTTTTTTTCTTTTGTTTTTTTTTTTTTTGACAAATTGAAGATTTGTGGCAACCCTGCTTTGAACAAGTCTATACTGGCATCATTTTCCAACAGCATGTGCTCATGTCATGTCTCTCTGTCAGCATTTTTTAGCAAATATTTTTAAGTTATGTACATTGTTCTCATAGACAAAATGCTATTTCACATTTAATAGACTACAGTATAGTGTGAACATACTTTTTTTATATATATATAGAAATGGGGTGTCACCGTGTTAGCCAGGCTGGTCTCAAACTCCTGACCTCAGGTGATCCACCCATCTTGGCCTCCCAAAGTGCTGGGATTGCAGGCATGCGCCACTGCGCTGGGCCCGTAAACATACTTTTATACGGGCTGGGAAACCCAAAGATTTGTGTGACTCACTTTATCATGATGGTCTGGAACTGAGTCTGCAGTATCTCCAAGGTATGCCTGTATAAGAAGTGGTATCTAGGCCTGGTGTGGTAGCTCGCACCTGTAATCCAAGCACTTTGGAGGCCAAGGTGAGCAGATCACCTGAGGTTGGGAGTTCAAGAACAGCCTGACCAACATGGTGAAACCCCATCTTTATTAAAGTACCTAATTTGAATATTCATTTATTTAATTATTGGAAAAGTTAAGCAATTTCTCTGAGTTTAATGGCCAAAGTGGCTTTAATCTCCCGGTCAATATGATTTCATGTGGCAGACCTGATAGATCATTGGTAACAGCTCCAACACTAATTAAAACATAGTGAGGTTCATCGGGGGAGTACTGGCCAGAGCCATGAGGACTGCCTTGAGTTCTGGTAATTGAGAGGAGCAACCATGTCTGCTTTTGGTTTTACATAGCTGGCACTGAAGCTGAACAGCAGCAGCAGCTCATGGGACTCCATTAGGTTTCATCGTAGCCAAACAACTTGTGAAGTAGCCCCAGAAATTTAGGGGAAACTAAAAGTCCCCATTGAACCAGTGGTATTGCTTTGGGCAGTGGAGTTGACCACACAGTTTTACCTCCAAAAGGATAGCTGCCATTTTTTCATGTAGCACCAAAAAAAATCTGCTACGGCCAGCTATACTATCTCTCTTTGACTAGTGAGGCTTGTTAGATTCTTTTCACCTTGTTAGTTATCACATCCAGGTTGACCCACCCCAAAATGGGGATGTCAGGCCAAAGAGTCACAAGACCAACATAAGTCACATTAAGTTTCAACAAAAGCTTAGCAGGTAAATAGCTGCCGCCTTTTGTTAACTTTTTAAGACGTACTTGGCGGCTGGGTCAGGCAGTTGTTGGGATTGTTAGTGCCAAGCCATCGCCTCTCTGAGTACTCGGGCAGCCACTTAAGTCTTTGAAACTTCTCCTGGAGATCCCTATTACTTCTTCTGGACCCCCTGGGTTGGGGGGTCAGTCTGTGCAGTACTTCTTAAGAGGGAGATGGAATAAGATGTAGACTAAGAAGTGCAGTCATAAAATACATGAATTCTATTATACATGTGTTGAATTGGTCTAAAGAGCCCTGGTGACATTATTTTTGAGGTGTCCAGCTCCTGATCAAAAACTTGGGGGCTGGGATAGAACAGAAGAGAGTTGGTGCTTTCTCTAGTTTAATCTCTTCCTATTTCAGTAAGTGATTAAAGCTTTGACTGTTTGACCTGCCAGCTCACCTCTCTCTGGCCCCTAACAGCTTCAGTTTTCCCAAAGCCCTCCAAAGTGCTGGAATTGTGGGCGTGAGTCACCATGCCCGGCCAAGTTCTGTTTTTCGTTTTTTTGTTGTTGTTTTCTTTTGAAATGGATTCTTGTTCTGTTGCCCAGGCTAGGGTATGGTGGCGTGGTCTTGGCTTACTGTAATTTCTGCCTCCTGGGTTCAAGTGATTACCTGGCTTCAGCCTCCTGAGTAGCTGGGATCATAGGTATTATATTTTTGGTAGAGACAGGGTTTCACCTTGTTGACCAGTCTGGTCTTGAACTCTTGACCTGAAGCATCAATTTTTTGGGGAACTTAGCCTCCCAAAGTGCTGAAATTACAGGCATAAGCCACTGGACCTGGCCCCCATTGAAATTTTTTATTGATCTCGTCAGAAGACCTACGTTGTCTATCATTGTATTTCAGATGAATGCAGTTATAAAGCTGGGTGTACACAACCATAGTGATATGCATTTATATATTTTGCTTTTTCACCCATTTATGAATATAGTTCATCTGCTTGTGTTATATCCACGCAATTGTCATTTGTATGCCTAAAAATATGTTATTGCCTATTTCATTGTGTGAAGTGGCCTACAATGTGTTCTCTTGTGTTATGTTTCTCAAATAAATCCCCTTTTAAAAATGTAAATAATTTTTTGAAAAATAATTTTTAAGGTTTTTCCTCCTACATTTTCAAGATTTTGAAATTTTGGGATTACAATTTTCTGTATATTTAGACTTAAGAGATTTTGATCTTTCAGGATTTCAGTATTTGAGATTATGGCATTCGGGATGTCTTTTGGGATTATGGTTCAAACTCCCTTTCTGTCCATGCTCATGCCACTGTGTTCTGCCCTGCAGTCTTCCAGCCTTGGCCACCCCGGCACCCAGAGCCCTGTCCTGGTTATAAACCAGGTAGGACTGTTGACAGGACCAAGTGTTTGGCTTTATACTGTTAATTAGGCAAGGCTTTTCCTTCACTCACTTTTAAGTGGCCACTCCTGTTCAACCAAATTAACTTCTGTCTTCAGGTCACTCAGAGCTCTATATTGAATAATGAAGCCTTCATTGCTGACATTAATTTACCTTTGAGGACTCTCCACCTGAGCAGCCACAGCCATACTGCCTTTTAGCTGGGGCGGTGGGACTTGCTGCTCCATTGTCATGATAACATTTCTTCTTTCTGCCTGGAAGAGAATTGGCAACAATTAAGTTAGAATTTGGGTGACTTATTTCAGTCCTGCTTCTAGCAGCTCTAAACGGGAAGAAGTAGGGTCTCCTGCCAATTGGGCAGTAGTATTCATTACTGGATCTTGGGAGTCTTATTTTCTTGAACTGGCCTGCAGAGCCTTGTCCTTCCTACTCCAGAAAGACATGTCTAGATTTTACCCTATTCACAATCTAACAGGTTAGTCTGTTATAGTTTTCTAGATGCTGGTAAAGACATGAGAAGAGTTCTGTGTACTCTCACCCAGCTTCCCCCAAAGATAGCGTTTTAAATAAGCTTTTTACTGAAACGTTGAAATTGACATTGGTACAATACTCTTACTAAACTATTGATGGACCTTGTTTGGAGTTTACCAGTGTTTGCATGCACTGTTGTTTTTACCACTCATTTTTTCACTTTTAACCTACCTTAATATTTAAAATGGGTTTCTCATTAACAGCACATACCTTGGTCTTGCTTTTTAAATTTTAATGCGCAGTATTTGTACACATTTACGGGGCACATTTGATATTGTTACATGCATAGAATGTGTGATGATCAATTTAGAGTAGTTGGGATATCCATCACCTTGAATATTTATTTCTATATACTAGGAACATTCCAAGTCCTTTCTTCTAGTTATTTTGAAATATATAATACATTGTTGTTAATTATTAGCTATAGTCATGCTACTTTGTATCAAACATTCGAGCTTATTCTATCTAACCATATGTTTATACCCATTAACCAACCTCTCTTCATAGCCACTCCCACTCATATGCCCTACCTACCCTCTGATAGCCATCATTCTACTCTACCTCCATGAAATCAACTTTCTCAGCTCCCACATATGAGTGAGAACAAGTAATATGTGTCTGTGCCTGGCTTATTTAACTTAATGTCCTCCAGTTCCATCCATGTTGCCACAAATGGCATGATTTCATTCTATTTTACAGCTGAATAGTCCTCCATTGTGTATGTAGATCACATTTCCTTTGTTCATCTGTTGATAGACATGTAGGTTGATTATCTTTGCTGTTATCAGTAGAGCTGTCAGAAACATGGAAGTGCATGTATCCTTCTGGTCTACTGATTTCCTTTGGATAAGTGCCCAGTAGAAGAATTGCTAGGTGGTATGGTAGTTCTATTTTTAGTTTTCTTCTGTATTGTTTTCCATAGTTGCTGAACTAATTTACATTTCCACCAACAGTCTGAGTTCCCTTTTCTATATATCCTCACCAGCATCTGTAATTTTTTGGCTTTTTAATAATACTTATTATAAGGTAAAATGATACCTCATTATGATGTATTATTATTTTTTTGGATTAATCAACCTTTAATGTCCAAAAGAGGCGTGGATGCAGAGCATAGGAGATATGGCAGCATCTCAGGCCATGCTCCAGAAATGAGGGAGAGATGAACACAAACCAGACACTCTCAACTGGCCACAAAATCTGGGAGGTCAGGGGGAAACACAGATTTGGACATTCGTAAAAAAATAAAATCAATCACTCAATTTTGTGCCTATTGAAGGGTTTGATATAGGGACCTCAGTCACCACCCAGGTCCCTCCTCCCCTACCAACATCAAAAAGCAAGCTCTGCCGGGCGCGGTGGCTCAAGCCTGTAATCCCAGCACTTTGGGAGGCTGAGGCGGGTGGATCACGAGGTCGAGAGATCGAGACCATCCTGGTCAACATGGTGAAACCCCGTCTCTACTAAAAATACAAAAAATTAGCTGGGCATGGTGGCACGTGCCTGTAATCCCAGCTACTCAGGAGGCTGAGGCAGGAGAATTGCCTGAACCCAGGAGGCGGAGGTTGCGGTGAGCCGAGATCGCGCCATTGCACTCCAGCCTGGGTAACAAGAGCGAAACTCCGTCTCAAAAAAAAAAAAAAAAAAAAAAAAGCAAGCTCTGCATACACTAAGGGATTAGGGAGGGGCATTCTCCTGCCTCTCCACAAGCCCCAAGAATGGACTTGAAAATAAAAGAAGCTGGGTCCCCCACCCCTTACACTGTCAACCCTACACGTGAGTTTTTAAGGCCACTCATAAGAATCAGCAACTCAAATAGCAATGACCACCCTACCCTAAACCCCACCCCACTCCTATTTCATTAAGAGACAAGATTTCCACTCATCCTCCTTGGAATCTACTTCCCTCATGCCCTCATGGCCTTGTTCCGTCTCCTGATATCTGGCTTCATCACTGCAAGACTGACCTTTTCCAAGGCTCCCCAGAAGCTCCTCTCAGCTCTTTATCATATCCATCCTCACCTCCCACCAGAGACTGCAAACATCTACAGTCACTGTCCCTCTGCACTGAGACCCAGCTCCAAAGCAGATGGTAGCATGGTCATCCTGTCCTGGGTGGTCCTCCTAAAGCCTTCCCAGGGAGCAGATAGCCAGAGAGCAAGCAAGAGTGTCTGGGCTAAATGACAGCAATGACACCTATCTTTACTTCTAAAACAGATACCCCAGAGGCTTTTAACATAAAAGCCCACTTAGAACTAATTGTGCCCCCTACTTACCCATACAACCTAGAGATTCCAAACGCTCCTCCCCACTCCCTCCCCTCACCCTCCTCCACCCCAAACACACACATGTACACAGGAGACTCAGGGGAGACATTGATTTGGTTTGATTGCTAAGACTTAACTAAGGAACTAGTTCCTTAAATTCCCTTGCCAGCCAACTAACAACTTGGGCTGCTCTAAGAGAACTGCAGAGAAATGAGAAAACTGAGGGCTAAGCAGGGAGCAGACAGAAGAATGTAAAGAAAAAAAAAAAAAACCCTACCACCAACATCCTCCTATTATGATCTCTGGCAGGAGGAACAAAAGAAGGTCATCCACCAAGACACAGCCATTACTTAGAAATTCTGACAAAGACAGCAAGACAAGTTTGCTCCCCACACCCACACACCACAAACACGTCTCAGGGCCCCCTAAAGACTGCATCTCCACCCCACCCTCTGCCCCAAGCCATAAATCACAGTTTAGTGGAATATTCTCCCTGGTACTAGATCGATCCCTCCACTTTCCTTCCTATCCGTTTCTCCTTGACAATCCCAATACTGTTCCCCTGCAGCCTCCCTGGCCCTCCCAAAGCAGCATCCACCGCCAGGAAGAGGCAGCTGCAGAGTTTTAGTTTCACCTCCAGACACCTATTTCTTTTCCTCAGCCCTCCTAGTCTTTCGGCCACCTAGTCTTTGTGGAGGGCTTTTTATTTTGTATAGGGAAAGAGAGAAAATGAAGAGGTGAGAGAGATTTCCTAGTGCAATACAACCGAAAAAAAAAATTTTTTTAATCTTGAAAAATACGCATAATGCAGCCTTCTTCCCCAGGCAACAACACAGAAAGAGATTTGGTTTTGTTTACTGCGGCGTACACAAGAAATAGAGTATACAGTCCATGCAGTAGGGTAGAACAGCCACTAGAGAGGACATCCTGATGCTGGCTCCAGTGCAAAACAGTCCCAGCAACGCCGCCTGCTTGCCATCGCTACCACAGCCACTGACACCTTCACCACGGCCAACTAGCCTGACTCAAAGAAGAGGATTGCAACTTGACCCAAATAAAAATAGATGAAGCGCTCTGTCTCGTGTGTGACATAGCTGCCAAAATTTCGGCCCACGATACAATGCCAGGTAGGGTTATATATCTTGTCAAATTCCTTACTGATATAGGTAGCAATGGCCTTCTCTAAGTTGTACTTCGACCTGGCCTGCGTGGTGCAGTCAACAGCATCCTGTTGTATGTCCTCAGACATGTCTGCGTTCTTGATCACTGTCTTCTGATCAGACATAGTGACACTTTACAGAGGTGAGCCCGCACGGACCCCTGGGGAGCAGCGATGGCCCAAGGCAGAGTGCAGGCAGGGGCGGAGGTCAGGAGTTTGAGACCAGCCTGACCAATATGGTGAAACCCCATCTTTAAAAAAAAAAAGTAAATTTAAAAAAAAAGAAATGTCTCTCCATGTACTTTGCCCACTTTTTAATGAGATTATTTGTTGTTGCTGTTTTACTGTTCTTTGACTTCCTGTGTATTCTGGGTATTAGTCCCTTGTCAGATGAATAGTTTGCAGATATTTTCTCCCATTCAACAGGCTTTTTCTTCAGTCTGTTGTTTCCTTTGCTGTGCAGAAGATTTTTAGTTTAGTATGGTCCCACTTGTCTATTTTCATTTTTGTTGCCTGTGCTTTTGAGGTCCTAGCCATAAAATCTTTGCCTAGATCTATGTCCTGGTGTTGCTCATATAAAACATATTTCTCATATGAAACTTCTAGTAGTTTTATAGTTTCAGGACTTATGTTTAAGTCTTTACTCTACCTTAAACTGGTTTTTGGCTGTGGTGAGAGGTAGGGGGTCGTCTTTCATTCTTCTGCATATGCATATCCAGTTTTCCTAGCACAATGTATTGAAGAGAGTGTTCTTTACCCAGTGTGTGTTCTTTGCATCTTTGTCGAAAATCAGTCAGCTGTAAATATGTGAATTTCTGTCTGTCTTGTTTTGCTCCACTGGTCTCTGTTTCTTTTTTTTTTTTTTTTTTTTTTTTTTTTTTTTTTGAGACGGAGTTTCGCTCTTGCTGCCCAGGCTGGAATGCAATGGCGCGATCTCGGCTCACAGCAACCTCCGCCTCCTGGGTTCAGGCAATTCTGCCTCAGCCTCCTCAGTAGCTGGGATTACAGGCACGCGCCACCATGCCCAGCTAATTTTTTGTATTTTTAGTAGAGACGGGGTTTCACCATGTTGACCAGGATGGTCTCGATCTCTTGACCTCGTGATCCACCGGCCTCGGCCTCCCAAAGTGCTGGGATTACAGGCTTGAGCCACCGCGCCCGGCCCTCTGCTTCTTTTTTAAACTAATACCGTGCTGTCTTGGTTACTATAGGCTTGTAATGTATTTTGAAGTCAGGTAGTATGGTGCCTCAAGCTCTTTTTGCTCTGGATTCCTTTGGCTATTTGGGCTCTTTTTGGTTCTACATGAATTTTAGGATTGTTTTTTCCTATTTATGTGAAAAATTGCATTGGTATTTTGATACGGATTGTATTCAATCTGTAGAATGCTTTGGGCAGTATGGTCATTTTAATAATACTGATTCTTCTGCTCCATATGCATGGGCTATGTTTCCATTTGTTTGTGTCCTTTTCAGTTTCTTTATCAATATCTGGCACTTTTCCTTGTAGAGGTCTTTCACCTCCTTGGTTAAATTTATTTCTAGGTATTTTAATTTTTTTGTAATTATTTTAAGTAGATTGCCTTCTTGATTTCTTTTTCAGCTAGTTTATTATTGGTGTGTAGAAACACTATGGATTTTTGAGGTCGGACACTGTGGCTCATGCCTGTAATCCCAGCCTTTTAGGAGGCCAAGATGGGGGGACCACTTGAGGCCAGGAGTCCAAGACCAGCCTAGACAACATAGCAAGACCCCGTATTTGAAAAAGCAAAACCACTGCTGATTTTTGTATGCTGATTTTATATCTTACAACTTTACCAAATTTATTCATCAGATCTAATAATTTTTTTTTGGTGGAGTCTTTAGGTTGTTCTTCTAGATACAAGATTATGTCATCTGCAAAGAGGTACAATTTGACCTCCCCTTTTACAATTTTGATGCCTTTTATTTATTTATTTATTTTAAATTTTTAAAAAGTTTAATGGTGCCAATAAGGCATATAAATCGTATTCTGGCTGGATGTGTTTTCTTTCTTTTGCCTAATTGCTCTCATTGGGATTCCCAGTAGTACTGTGTTGACTAGGAGTGCTGAAAGTAAGCATCCCTGACTTGTTCCAATTCTAAAGGAAAAGGCATTCAGCTTTTCCTCATTCTGTGTGATGTTAACTGTGTGTTTGTCATATACGGCCTATATTATGTTGACATACATTTCTTCTATGTCTAGTTTGTTGTGAATGTTTTTCCTTTTTTTTTTTTTTTTTTTGAGACACAGTTTCGCTCTTGTTGCCCAGGCTGGAGTGCAATGGCACGATCTTGGCTTACCACAGTCTCCCCCTCCTGGGTTCAAGCAATTCTCCTGCCTCAGCCTCCCAAGTAGTGGGGATTACAGGCATGCACTACCATGCTCAGCTAGTTTTGTATTTTTAGTAAAGATGGGGTTTTTCCATGTTGGTCAAACTGGTCCGAACTCCCGACCTCAGGTGATCTGCCCGCCTCAGCCTCCCAAAGTGCTGGGATTACAGGCATGAGCCACCATGCCTGGCCAAGAAACTGTATCATGAAGGATGTTGAATTTTATTAAATCCTTTTTCTGCATCTATTGAGATGGTGATACAGTATTTGTCCTTCATTCTGTAGATGTGATATAGCACATTTATTGGTTTGCATATATTGAATCATCCTTGAATCCCTGGAATAAATCTTAGTTGATCATGGTGTATTATCTTCTTGATATGCTGTTGGATTGGGTTGCTAGTATTTATTGAGGAGCTTTGTGTGTATGTTCTTCAGGGATGTTGGCCTATACTTTTTTTGTTGAGTCTCTGTCTGGTTTTAATATCAGGGTAATGCTGGCCTTGTAAAATGAGTTATGGAGAATTCCCTCTTTAATTATTGGGAATAGTTTGAGGAGAATTGGTGTTAGTTCTTAGAAAGTTTGGTAGAATTTGGCAGTTAAGCCATCCAGTCATGCACATTTCTTTGTTCAGAGATTTTTTAAAATTACTGTTTCAACTTCGTTACTTGTTACTGGTCTGTTCAGGTTTTCTATGTATTTTTTATTCAATCTTGGCAGATTGTATATGTTCAGGAATTTATTCATTTCCACTAGGTTTTCAGCTTATTAATATTCCATTGTTAATATCTCATAATCTTTTATATTTCTGTGGTATCAGTTGTAATGTTTCCATTTTAATTTCGTTTCTTACTTGGATTCTCTCTTTTTTTCTTGATTAGTTTAGCTAACAGTTTATCCATTTTGTTTATCTTTTTTTAAAAGCCAACTTTTCTTTATTTCAATTGTTTTTGGGGTACAGGTGGTTTTTGGTTACATGGGTAAGTTCTTTATTGGTGATCTCTGAGATTTTGGTGCACCCATCACTCAAGCAATGTATGCTGCTTTTACGCCAATAGTCTTTTATTCCTCACTGCCCCCTCTGAATCCCCAAAGTCCATTCTATCATTTTTCTGCCTTTGCATCCTGATAGCTTTGCTCCCACTTATAAGTGAAAACATGTTATCTTTGGTTTTCCATTCCTGATTACCTCACTTAGAATAATGGCCTTCAGCTCCATTAAACTTGATTCAAAAGACAGTATTTTATTCCTTTCCATGGCTGAGTAGTACTCCATGGTGTATATATGCCACATTTTCTTTACTTGTCGCTTGGTAAGTATTTAGATTTGTTCCATTATCTTTGGAGTTGTGAACTGTGCTACTGTAAACATGCATGTGCATGTCATTTTTCATATGACTTCTTTTCCTTTGGGTACTCAGTAGTGGGACTGCTGGATCAGATGGTAATTCTACTTTTAGGTATCGCCATACTGTTTTCCATAGTGGTTGTACTAGTTTACATTCCCACCAAAGGTGTAAAAAATATGCCCTTTACGCTATATCTACACCAGTATCTATTGTTTTTTGACTTTTTAATTATGGCAGTTCTTGTAGGAGTAAGGTGGTATTGTGGTTTTAATTTGCATTACTCTGATAATTAGTGATGTTAAGGATTTTTCATATGTTTGTTGGCTGTTTATATATCTTCTTTTGAGAATTGTCTATTCATGTCTTTTACTCACTTTTTGATGGAATTATTTTATTTATTTATTTAGAGACAGAGTTTCACTCTTGTTGCCCAGGCTGGAGTGCAATGGCACAACCTAAGCTCAGTGCAACCTCAGCCTCCCAGGTTCAAGTGATTCTCCTGCCTCAGCCTCTCGAGTAGCTGGGATTACAGGCATGCACCACTATACCTGGCTAATTTTGTATTTTTAGTAGAGATGGGGTTTCTCCATGTTGGTCAGGCTGGTCTCGAACTCCCAACCTGAGGTAATACGTCTGCCTTGGCCTCTCAAAGTTCTGGGATTACAGACGTGAACCGCCACGCCCAAGCTCTTTGTCAGATGTGTAGTTTGCAAATATTTTATCCCCCTCTGTGTACTGTCTTTTTACTCCGCTATTTATTTTGCTGTGCAGAAGCTTTTTAGTTTAATTAGGTCTCATTTATTTATTTTTGTTTTTGTGGCATTTGCTTTTGGGGACTTAGTCATAAGTTCTTTGCCTAAGGTAATGTCCAGAAGAGTTTTTCTGATGTTCTAAAACTTTTATGGTTTCAGGTCTTAGATTTAAGTCTTTGATCCATCTTAAGTTGATTTTTGTGTAAGGTGAGAGGTAAGGATCCAATTTCATTCTTCTACATGTGGCTTGCCAGTTTTTCCAGTACCAGTCATTGAATAGGGTATCTCTTCCATAATTTATGTTTTTGTGTGCTTTGTCAACGATCAGTTAGCTGTATTGGTTTTAGCTCTGTGCTCTCTATTCTGTTGCATTGGTCTACATGCCTGTTTTATACTGGTACTATGCTGTTTTGGTAGCTACAGCCTTGTAGTACAGTTGAGTTGGATAATGTGATGCCTCTGGATTTGTTCTTTTTGCTTAGTGTTGCTTTGGCTGTGCAGGCTCTTTTCGGGTTCCATATAAATTTTAAAATAGTTTTTTCTAGTTTTGCGAAGAAAAATGATGATATTTTGATGGGTGTTGCATTGAATCTGTAAAATGCTTTAGGCAGTGTAGTCATTTTCACAATATTGATTCTATCCATCCATAATCATGGAATGTGTTTCCATTTGTGT